TTTATATTTTTTTGTTTTTTCAAGACAGGGTTTCTCTGTGTAGTTTTGGTGCCTGTCCTGGATCTCACTCTGTAGCCCAGGCTGGCCTCGAACTCACAGAGATCTGCCTGGCTCTGACTCCCGAGTGCTGGGATTAAAGGTGTGCGCCACTGCCACCTAGCATTTTTACTTTTTATTTATTTTACATCCCAACTGCAGTTTCCCCTGTATCTCCTCCAGCAGCTCCCCTTGCCCTCCATCCACTCTTCCTCTGTTTCTGTTCAGAAAGGGGCAGGCCTCCTGTGGATATCAACAGAACATGACATATCAAGTTGCAGTAAGACTAAGCACCTCCCCTTGTATTAAGGCTGGGCAAGGCGACCCAGTATGAGAAATAGGGTTTCTTTCTCTTTCTCTTCCTTTCTTCCTCTCTTTCTTTCTTCCTTCCTTTCTTTCTTTCTTTCTTCCTTCCTTTCTTTCTTTCTTTCTTTCTTTCTTTCTTTCTTTCTTTCATAAAAGCGGTTTTTACTGTTTATTTTTTGTGGCTCTGGAGATGGACTCTCAGCATGCTAGGCAAACACTCTACCCTGGAGCAACACCCACAACCTCCTCTTACTCTTTACTTTGAGAAAGTGTCTCACTGAACTATCCAGGCTGCCTTTGACTTCGCTTCCAGGCGCCATCCTGTGCAGATGCAGTCTAGATCATCTTTGCCCCCGTTCTCACTCTCTGCTTCCTGTGCACAAATGAAAATGTGATCAGTCAGCTTCCTCCTCCTGCCGCCTTCCTTGCTGTGGTGGACTCCAGCTCTCTGAAACTGGAAGCCCAAATATCCTCTCTCTTTCCTATAACTTTTGGTCATTCGCTGTATTTTGTCACAGCAATAGAAAAGTAACCAATATACTCCTAAATGTGAAAATTCAGCCTGCCCTTCCAGTTAGCCATGCCATGTTAGTCAACTTTCTGCTATTATAAAAATATGCCAAAGATAAAGCAGCCCAAAAGAGGAAAGATGTATTTTGGCTCCGCCCACGGTTGTTTTGGGCCCTGTGGCAATGAATGTGTCACGGGCAGCCAGTGGTGGGGGGCTGTGCTCCCCATATGATAGCCCAGAAGCTGAGAGAGATGCAGGAAAAGACTAGAATGATGCGTCTCTTAAAAGGCAAATCCCAGTGCCCTAAAAAAAGGCACTCCCCCAGTTCCACCTCTTAATGGTCCTCACCATCTCCACTAGCACTAGACTGAGGTGCCATCCATTAAATGTGGGTCTTTGGAGGACATCCAAGATCCAAAGAGTCACACACACCAAAAAATGGGAAGACAAATTCCATCCTCTGAGGAGTCCATGAGAATCCTCAGATAGCCACAGAGAGGGACCACATGTTCAATCCCTCCCTCGTGTAGGCTCATATCTTTAGGTCTTATTTCATGGAAGAATTAAAGCAAACTAAGAAGAACTGAATTGTGCAATTCCAATCCATCTGGTTTCTTGCACAGGTACCTGCAGTCTCTGGATTCCCTGCCCACCACCCTCTATCTCCCTTTTTGTATTCAATAAACACTTATCAAATGTCTAGACTGGGAGGTACAGTATACGCCACCTTGGAGGGACAGTAATGAGTGTGCCCTGCTTCTGTGGAACACTGACAGACAGTAAGGGACACAATAATCACACAGACACACGAAGATGTAATGAAACCCGTGACTTAGAACCAGACCCTTGGCATGGAGGTAGAAAAGGATGAGTAACGGCCCAGAAAGGGTGGGGAAGTGGCTGCCAGGAGCCGCAGTGTTTCTTTTTGGCCTCCGGTAAATACTCTGGAATTTGATAGTGGTGATAGATGTACAGCCTCGTAAATATATTAAAAACACAGAATTATACGCTTTTAAAAGTGTGAACTTCGCCGGGAGGTGGTGGCGCATGCCTTTAATCCCAGCACTCGAGAGGCAGAGCCAGGCGGATCTCTGTGAGTTCGAGGCCAGCCTGGGCTACCAAGTGAGTTCCAGGAAAGGCGCAAAGCTACACAGAGAAACCCTGTCTCGAAAAAAAAAAAAAGTGTGGACTTCATTGTATGTAAATTGTATCTCAGTAAAGCTGTTACTAAAACAAACAAACAAACAAACAAACAAACAAACAAACAAACAAACAAAAAAGCCAGTAAGGACCCTTGATTAAACTTGGGGGAAAAGCGGGGAGGAAGGAGGGTGTCCCTAAAAGAATGGCATTTGTAAAGAGTCTGATGGGGGCAGAAGTGAGCCAGTGTGTGTGTGTGTGTGTGTGTGTGTGTGTGTGTGTGTGTGTGTGTGTGTGTATGTGTATGTGTGTGTGTGTGTGTGTCTGTGTGTACACATCTGTCTGTGAAAACACTGTAGGTCCATAGTCTGAGCCATCAGGGAGAGGCAGCTAGGGGGACGTCCTTGAGAAAAGAAGGTTTAGCCCCTGCCCTGTCACCACAGCTAGCGTTTGATGACTCCTGTGGTCTAGACAGATGCCAGCCATCGGAGCATATGCAAACAGTGAAAGGAAGCTGTGCAGAGTCCGTCTCCCTTCCGAGATACTCTAAATTGGAGAATATTACTTAGAGACTGTGGTCAGATGACACAGTGGGTTACTGAAGTCTGGGGTTGAGATCATGTTTGTTTGAGCTACAATTGTGGCAATGGAGCTGGAGAAATGGAGCACCGTGGGGAATGTTTAAGGAGCAGAACAGAGGAGCAGAGGAAACAACCTCATCCCTGTGTTGGCCCCAGGAACTCTGTCAGCTCTCTCTTTGGCTTTGGTTCCTTGCTTGAAGGTAATGAATGAATGGCCAGTCTCCTTTCCCTGGAAAATGGGCAGCACAAGCCTGTAGCTAGAGTTTTCCTGCCTGGCCCACAGTCAGGACAAATCTCTATCACCTGCCAGTCCCACAGCCGCTCAGACCCAACCAAGTAAACACAGAGACTTATATTGCTTACAAACTGTATGGCCGTGGCAGGCTTCTTGCTAACTGTTCTTACAGCTTAAATTAATCCATTTCTATAAATCTATACCTTGCCACATGGCTCGTGTCTTACCGGCATCTTCACATGCTGTTTCTCATCATGGCGGCTGGCAGTGTCTCTCTGACTCAGCCTTCCACTTCCCAGCTCTATTCTCCTCCTTGTCCCGCCTATACTTCCTGCCTGGCCACTGGCCAATCAGTGATTTATTTATTGACCAATCAGCAACACATTTGACATACAGAACATCCCACAGCACAACCCTACAATGAATGCAGATGTCCCAAACAAAAGCCAATGTAAACGGAAGTTTCTGTCCCACCAGCAACTGAAATACCCGGCAGCTGCTTCCCAAATAATTGAATTGGAGGCTTAATATTACTTATGAATGTTTGGCCGATGGTTCAGGCTTATTACCACCTAGCTCTTACATCTTAAATTAACCCATTTCTACTAATCTATGTATTGTCACATGGCTGTAGCATTTCCAGTCTGCTGGCATGTTGCTCCTTGGGCAGCTGGCTGGCATCTGCCTCGACTCTGCCCTTCTTTCTCCCTGTATTCTGTTTGGCCTTCCCACCTAGCTATATTCTGCCTGGCTATAGGCCAAATCAGCTTTATTTATCAACCAATGAGAGCAACAATGTTCACAGCATACAGAAAGACCATCCCAGAGCAAGCCAACACCCCTCATAGATCCAACTACACAACTGTTCTTGACCATGGACACAAATGCTGGGCTAGCTGATGGAAATGAGGAAGAGGGGATGCTGGGAGAAAAATATTAGGAAGAAAAAAGTAAATAGGAGGGTAGCTGGCTGTGATCTTGGATCTGAGAGGGACAGAAACGCCATGTCTCGGTGACAATTCCCAGTAAGTCACAACCAGTTACCCACAACCCCAGCTACTGTTCAGGAGCTTGTTCCTCAGTCCTGTTTTATCCTGCTTCATTTTCCTGCCCATGGTCAGGGCATGAGACTGGATCCTCATTACTCCGTTTCCTGAGTTGCTATAGTAACAGTCAACTGAGGGTTGTATTTCGCTGTCTGTAACAAAAACCCAAACCCAACAGGGACTATATTACAAAATCTCCAGTGGACTGAGTGTGCCTGTAATCCCAGCACTAAGGAGGCTGAGAGAGAACTCCGGCAGAGTCAGTTCCAGCCCAGGCTACATAGTAAGAATGAGTTCAGCCAGAGCTACACAGCAAGTGTCTGTGTCAACACACACACACACACACACACACACACACACACACACACACACCTCTGATGAAGTTTAATTTATAAATTAGGCACAAAATGAGATTTAACAGCATTAACTAAAATATAATAATTATAGTAATACATGACAGTAAAATTGCCTAAATTGCCTGTAACTTCATTCTTGCACATTGGGGCCATTATTAAGTCAATACAGGTTGCCTCACAGGACGTTACAATACTACAAGAGTTGATTTGATAATAACCCAATGCTATTTAAGTGACTTTTGGATGGGTGCCAGGTGAGGGGCATATACTACATTAATATTCCAGACAAAGGAATGATTCACTTCTTGAGTAGGAATGATCAAGGCCGTGAGAGGTTTCATTTCGCCACACACAACAGTATGCAGTTTATTTCTGGAATTTTCCACTTAATATTTTATGATCATGGATGACCATAGAATGTGAAAGCAGAGATAAAGGGGAAATTGTGATAGAAATGCACACTCCAGAGCTAGGGCAGCCGCTTAAGGACGATCCAGAGGGTTGACAAGCGGCCACTGGGAGGTCCAGGAGGGCTGAACAGTCAGGAGGAGAGCGGAGAGCGTGCACTTTGATCCGGAAAGCAGAACATTTTTAGAAATTTCCACTCTGGGCAGAAGTGTCCTGGCTACCCTTCACTTGAAGGGTTTTGTGCTGTTTATTTTGTTTCCTGTAAGGAATATAAAGAGAAGTAGCCTGGGTTCTCCGACCACCTGAGGGGTATCAGGTGACCTTTAACTGCTGGTGCATAGCAACCAAATGACTCCTAATGACAGACTACTATCCCCATAGATGAGAACACCACTCACCCCTCATCGGAGAAGCTTCTTCCTGCGGTGAATGAGAATTAACAAAGATATCCACAGCTGGACAACGTGCAGAGAAGGACAGTGTTCGGAGCACTCGGTCCTAATCGGGATGTCTTTACCAAGCCCCTCTCTTCAAGGCTTCGGGGATCCGTGCAGAAGAGTGGCCGATGGCTCCCAGTGAACAACATCTCCCAGACACACCAGGACTGATGCTCATGTGAACTCATGGAGACTGTGGCGGCACACACAAGGCCTCCACGGGTTCAAACCAGATGAAGTCCCAGCACTGAGGGGGGAAGTGGACACAGAGTCCACCCCTAACCAGGAGGCGATTTGCAGTTGATAGCTGCTGGGAGAGGGAAAATCGGTTTTCTTCAACGGAGCGACACTAGATATGTCAGCCATATTCCGAGGCAGGCTCCATGGCCAGGAGCAAGTTGCCAACACAAAACGGACTCCACGATGTTTGTTTGTTTGTTTTGTTTTTAAAAGTGTGTGTACTTTTTGTTTTGGTATTTTTTTCTTTCCTTTTTTTGTCTGTTTTGATTTTTTATTTTCATTTTTGTTTGTTTGTTTGTTTTTCTTTTTTTTTTTTAAGATTTATTTATTGTGTATACAGTATTCTGCCTGCATGTAACCCTGCAGGCCAGAAGAGGGCGCCAGATCTCATTGCAGATGGTTGTGAGCCTCCATGTGGTTGCTGGGAATTGAACTCGGGACCTTTGGAAGAGCAAGCAGTGCTCTTAACCTCTGAGCCATCTCTCCAGCCCTGTTTGTTTTTTTACAGGCTTTCTCTCTGTAGCCCTTTGTAGACCAGCGTGGTCTCGAACTCACAGAGATCTGCCTGCCTCTGCCTCTCAAGTGCTGGGATTAAAGGTGAGTGCCACCATACCTGGCTTTTTTTTTTTCCCAGTGAGAGAGAAAGAACAGGAAGTTGGGTAGGTAGGGAGGTGAGGAGAATCTGGGTGGTGTTGGGGAAGGAGAAAGAATATGCTCAAAATATATTGTATGAAAAGAATTTAATAATAAAAAAATAAGAAATTGGAGAGAAAATACATCCAAGAAGAAGAATCAAGTTATGGAGCTTAAGGCGGGTAGTGGAAGGGGCTGGGCAGGACACAGAGAAGACAGTTATTCACGGCCATGCTTCCTGAAGACTCGGCGACTGTCCCGTGTTCTCCATGGTAATTTCTATCCATGTAAACAGCCCTGCTTGAATATCACTTAGCTGTAAGAAAGAATGGCATCTTACAGCCAAAAGCATGGTAGAGGAGGACGTCACATTGTGTGAAATAAGCCAGACACAGAAAGACAAATTCTACTTGTCCTAATTAATATTCATAACCTGCATATATCCATGTTTTAATATGTACAATTAGCACATGCTAATAAAAATGATGCATTTAATAAGAAAATCGTGGCCTGAAAGAGCATGTCAGAGAAGATATTTAAATATCCCAAACCAACTTCATTTGTATATTTATTTTTTAAAACCTTTTAATTTATTTTTATTTCATGAGCATTGGTGTTTTGCCTTCATGTATGTCTGTGTGAGTGTGTTGGATCCCTTGGAACTGGAGTTTCAGATAGTTGTGGATGCTGGGAATTGAACCCGGGTCCTCTGGAAGAGAAGCCAGTGCTCTTAACCACTGAGCCATCTCTCCAGCCCCAACTTCATTAATTTTGACAGAAATGAAAAAATAATGTTGATATATGGTCAGGCAAAAACTGGAAGCACACAATTGGAGGTGGGCAAAAAAGAGAAAGATGAGGAGGAGGTGAGTATCAGCCACTGTCCCATGCTTCTGAGGACTGAGACAGGAATTACGCACCTGCCCGCTCATGGAAATGCTGGCTCAAGTACAGCAAAGCTTTAAGAGTTGGCTATAATTTGTGCGCTAGGGCCCTCTGGTGGTCACACGGTGCAGTTCCGGGGGGGGGGCAGAGAAACGGAGGGAATAATTAGAGAGACATTTAAGTGAAATAATTCTTATTTAGGGACTAGATACAAATATTAAAAATTTAGATTAAACCAATGATTAACAGACACATAACTTTAAAATATCTTTAGATTTCTGTAGTAATTTAAGACATTTTAAGTGTGTGTGTGTGTGTGTGTGTGTGTGTGTGTGTGTGTGTGTGTGCATGTGCTCCTGCATGAGCATGAGGATGACAGACTAGAAGGAGAGCAGGAAAGGACATAAAGAGGAACTGGAGAGAGCAGTCTGGGAGGGATCTACCACAATGCTAACAGGAATTATTTCTATGAGGAAATCTGAAGGATAATTTTCTATTTCTTCCCTTAAACTTTTCTGTATTTGCCAAAGTTAGTACAGTGAACGTTACATTAAAAATGAAGCAAACACAAATATTCTCAACGTAAAACATGAGCTTGGGTTTTACATTTTTTAACTGGAGCCATACCATATATTATTCTAAAACTAGCATTTCTTGTTGTATCATCTAGGGATATTTCTACGCTACCAGCGTTTACAATTCAAACCCACTTAAATGAATATTTATTTGTACCTCGAGAAGAAAGTTCATCATTTCAATACTTGATGTTCATCAGTCCATTCAGATGCATCGGCTTCAGGGAGAAGATGTATTTCCACTGAAGAGAAGTACGATGAAGTCAGCCATCCCTCTCTAGTCAGAATTGTGGTACAAAAGTTGTGGTACAGTTTTTCTCATTGCTGTGATAAAACACCACACAAAAGCTACTTAAGAATGGAAGGGCTTGTTTTGGGTCACAGTTGGAAGCCACAGTAGCAAGAACATGTAATGACTGGTCATATTGTGTCCGCAGTCAGGATATGAGAGAGAGAGAGAGAGAGAGAGAGAGAGAGAGAGAGAGAGAGAGAGAGAGAGTGCTTTCACCTCTTTTTCCTTTCCACCCAGCCTGAGACACCCATCCCTGGGATGGTGGGACCCATACTCGGGGTAGGCCTTCCCTCTTTAGTTAAACCTCTCAAGAGATGCCCTCGCAGAGGTATGTCTCCTAGGTGACTCCAAATCCAGTCAATGGAGATTAACCCTCACAGGATGGCCTGTCTTAGACTGAGCTATGCTGCCCAGTCAGAGCTGAAGGGAAACAGCCTAAGGCTGGACACTTGCCCTCACCTCTGCCATGACCTTGGTGAACCTCCAGGCACTTTGTTCAGGCTGACCTTTGAGACACTGGAAATAGAGTGTAAGTAAAGGAGTTCTTTAAAAGAGAAGATCATATAGACCTAAAGGGGTGTTGCAGCTTATGGGGGTGTGTGATAACGCATTTTCACTAGAAAACGAAGTTGGAGCTGCTTTCAGAAAAATTTAAAATTTAATGAAATTGTCAAAGAATAAAGAAATTACTTAAAAAGCTAATGCATATATTGTAAACTGTCCAAACAATGTGAAGTGGCCTTCTCCTCACCTCAGTTTTCAGCCTATTTCTGCATTAGTGCATTAGCTGTTACCAACGGGTTCCAGTGACGTTCTCGCGTAAAAGCAGCGAATTCAAATATGTCTTTCCCTGTTTTAACATTCAAGTGAGAACACATTACCTCCATGTGTCCCAGGACTACATGATTCTAACAAAATGTAACTGTCTGTCTAGTAGCCTTTTTGTTTGTTTGTTCATCCAAGGTGTGACATGTCAGAACTGGGGTCTGGCTGTGACTAAGTCACATCCCATTGTATGTGCACAGCAGCCGTGGCTCATCTGCCCGCCCAGCCTTCAGTCATGACTAACTGTCAACTGAGTAAACACCCAAGGGACACGCATTAGCTGAGCACTTTAGAAAGATCATCTGTCTACAGGGGACATTTCTTGGACTAAGGGTGAAGAGTAGAAAAGGAAGAGACTATTCCAGAACAACAGGAAGCAGAAGAGAGCAGGACGGGGGTGGGGTGACTCAGTTGCTCAAGTGTGAGGACCTTTGTGCCAATCCCCAGCACTACGTAAGAAGCCAAGTGTGGTGGTGCACACACCAGTGATCCCAACGCTAGGCAGGCAGAGAAGGGAGAAGTCCTCAGGCTTGCCATCCGATGGTCCACCTATCTCAAAACATATGATGGAAAGTTCACAGGAATATGTCCATATGCATATATATACATATATATACATAATATATGTATATACCACATTTCCATCAGATAAAATAGAATTTAAGAGAAAATGTAACGTGTTGTGGAATATTTAACTATGTAAAATGTGTTACATTTGTTTCACCTTGTCTGCCTAAGGCACCTGATTGGTCCAATAAAGAGCTGAACGGCCAATAGTGAGGTAGACAAAGGATAGGCAGGGCTGGCAGGCCGAGAGACTAAACAGGAGGAGAAATCTAAAGAGTGAGAGAGAAGAGAGGAGAGAAGGAGGTTGAAAGAGAGGGACCGCCCTGGGGCCAGAAGCCAGGCAGACGCCAGCCAGACACAGAGGAAACAGGGAAGTAGGACATACAGAAGGAAGAAAGGTAAAAAGCCCGAGGCAAAACGTAGATAAAGAGACACAGGTTAAGTTAAAAGAACTAGCCAAAAAAATGAGCCTAATTTAATCCCAGCACTCGGGAGGCAGAGCCAGGCGGATCTCTGTGAGTTCGAGGCCAGCCTGGACTACCAAGTGAGTTCCAGGAAAGGCGCAAAGCTACACAGAGAAACCCTGTCTCGAAAGACCAAAAAAAAAAAAAAAAAAAAAAAAAAAAAAAAAAAAAAAAAAAAAAAATGAGCCTAAGCTAAGGCAGAGCATTCAAAATTAATAAAAAGTCTCCATGTCATGATTTGGGAGCTGGTTGGTGGCTCAAAAGAAAAAGCTTGGTACAGCAACATAATATAATAAAGATTTTAACAGAGATATAATAAAAACAGATGAATTAAAATCTAAGCATCATCAGAATCATGTTTGGAAAATCTTTGTTACTTTCAATTTTATTTTCCAAAGATTCAGTCACCCTAGAAAAGGACAGAGCCTGCACAAATTAAATGAAAAAATGTCAGAAAGAAACCAGTCTTAAGTTGTAGACCATTGAGAAGATGATGAGACCTGGTGTGATCCCACTCCATCCTACCCAGGCCCAGAGCCGTCTTTCCGTCCAGGCTATCTGCACTGTATACATTACCCTCCCACTAATCGCGCATAGCCGTCTTGGTGCTCAGAATAACTGTGGTGGTGGGGTCACAGTTCCTGAACTCAAGTAGCCTTTATTATGGTCCAAAAACGTGTAGTACTGACAATTCAGATAGGTCAGAGAGAAACCACAAAATGCATGTCCACTTTATCATAAGAACTTATATATTTTATATTTATATATGGGGGGGGCGGTTGGCATTATCTTTATCCCCTGGGGTCTTGGAATGTATCTTCTGAGGAGTAGCGTAGACCACACTATTCTGAAATTCATTTTTAGATGTTCATTTTGGTGGTACTGCTTCATTGCCCCTGAGCACCACCATGCTATCCTGAGTGCAGTGATGACCGTCCACACGCCCATCAGCCTGAGACATCAAATACATCTGAGGTAGCAGCAGCTCAAGCCCTGAAAAGAGAGAGCTCAGAGAGATGTGTGGAGTATGTCGCCTTCTAGACCCCTGGGTCAGGTTCATTTCTCTGTCAATGAAAGGATTAGAAGGCAGGGGGAAATCGGAAGCACAGAGAGTAGCAGCAGGAAATATCTCAGATGCAGCAGGAAGCTTTAACAGGCATCTGAATGAAAAAAAGGAGGGACGTGACTGCTCCTAGGTAGGGAGGAGGAAGAAGTTTACTGGAGATAAAAGGGAGGGCATAGTCAGAGGCAGGGACATCTGGGAGAGTCCGGAGTGGACATGACCCTGAGCTGGGCCATGTGAGGAGAGGGGAGAGCCAGGAGAATACAGGGTAGACAAAAGGACGGGTAACCAAAATGCCCGGGCTATATAGGGAAGGGCAGCTGGGGGAAGGGCAGCCCAGGCCCTGGGTTGGAGAAATTTAGGGTAGGGGGGGTGGGGTGTGCCAGCCATACTCTGTAACAGGCAGGGACTGAGGGATGCTGGGAGAATCTGGTGGCCAGGTCTGCTTTGGTATGTTAAACAGGCACCTCAGTTCGCGTTTGTCCCGTGTTTGAGACCTAACAGCATCAAATTTCACTGGAAGTCCAGAAGCACAGACAGAGCCACGGACACGCGGAGAAAGACTCCCTGCAGCGCAGAGAGGGGACCAGTCCCGTTTCCCCTGGAGGACTCTGGGTTCAAGTTACCTTTTGCTGGCCAGGGATGGGCCCTTTCCCCCTAATTAAGAATTAGTCTGTTTGTCTAGACAAAGTTCCACAGCCTTAGGTAGTAGCATACCCAGGTCTGGTTTTCAGCTTATCTGACCAGCGTGGATTTGTCCCCGGGACTGTGGGGTGGAAACCTACTGCTGAGAGGAAAAGCCTGTCAGACGCTTGTCTCCCGAGAGCCGCCAGGACGATGCTTCCGGTCAGGAAGGCGAAGAAGCAGCCCGAGGTTTGCTGTCTTTATCTATCTGTGGCCCCTTTCCCTGATTGCCTGTCAGGGATCCAATAGGCACACGGGCAATCATTTTTCCCACCTCTAGATGGAGCTAGCTAAAAGCATTTCGGCAGCATTTAGCTACAAGAGTAAGGGAAAGCCATTTATTTAAGTGTTCTGCACAGCCAAGTCAGAGGCCGGCCCGACCTTACTGATCGCAGTTTGCTCACTCTGTCTTCGGATGCATGGGACAATGAGCTATCAGGGTCTTAACCATAGAAAAGTGCTAGGGATGGAACCCTGGGCCTTGCACATGCTAAACACACACTAAACACATGCTCTATCATTGAACTGCATCCTCTTCCTCTTGACTTAACTAGTTAGTAAATACAGTATAATTATATTAAATAGTCTAATACATTCTGGAGTTTTTTCCCCTTAATTTGACATCAAAAATCCCTTTAGGACATAACATTTTCTAAAAGCCAAATTGTCATCATGGGTTAATACATTTTTCTGACTAAATGCAAATAATGAGGCTAGGTTTGAGTCTGACATGAGAGCAGGCACAGAGAGGCTGGCGTGCCGATGTCCCTGTGAGGTGGCAGTCTGGAGTCTCTCAGATGATTCCTGCTTCCTATGGTGAACGCCTGATTCAATATGGGAAGCTATCTTCAAAGCTTCTCAGTATTTCTACCTCAAGTTGTAGATGGATTTTTCCTTGGGCCACTAGTTCACAAATCATGACACAGAGACTTATTATTAATTATAAAGACTTGGTCTATAGCTTAGGCTCTTATAACTTAAATTAACCTGTTTCTACTAATCTACGTGCTGTTACGATGAGCTCTCCCTGTCCAGAAGTCCCTGCTGTACCTCCTGCTTAGCTATTGGCCATTTAGCTTTTTTTATTTTTATTTTTTATTTTATTTTATTCTGCCGAATGCCATTTATTGAAGGAGGGAGGAGGTCTTAAATACAGGCTTACAGCACAATGGGAGAACCCCAGAGGGCAGAAGTTCGCTACTGATGTTTTACAATCTTGCATCTAAGCTGTTAATGCCCAATAAGCAGGATACACAGACAGCCATTTAGCTCTTTATTAAACCCACCACAGTGACAGATCTTTACACAGTGTAATCAAATATCTCACAACACAAGTTTCCGGTTACTGTCAATTATTCTCATCATTCATTTTCTTGTTTGATTTTCAGTGAAAACACATATCTTAAAAAGCAAAATGAACCCCACACATGCATGCTCAAGCCCATTACAAGATATGCACACTGGGATTTGACCAGCACAGGAAAAATAGCACAGTTCTTAGTTCTCAAAAGAGTCCAGACTATTTTTCTCTTGGGATAAAAAAAAAAAGGAAAGAAAGAAAGAAAGAAAGAAAGAAAGAAAGAAAGAAAGAAAGAAAGAAAGAAGAGAAGGAAGAAAGAAAGAAGAGAAGGAAGAAAGGAAGGCTGAAGACCTGGAGTCATTGGGCTCAAACAGTAACCCCTGCCCCCCTCTGCCCCCCCCCCCCCACACACACCGCCCTTCTCTGGAAGGGGCAGCCCTGTCCTTGCAGGCTGCCTGGGCCTCACCTCCCCAGGTGTTCTGAGCACCAGGATTGCTCTGGGAGCTGCTGGAGATCCCACACTGCTTGGTGGCTGACACTAGTCCACAAGCCTTTTCCTGAATGTCCTTTTATCTTCTCTTTCCTTGGCCTGTGCTTGGTCATCCCTCAAGTACTGTGTTCGCTTAAGTGCACAAAGACTTCCTAGAAATATCATAATAGAAATGCTTATTTTTAAAGATTTATTGTTATTACTATTTTTTAAAAGATGTATTTATTTATTATGTATTCACTGTCCTGCCTACATGTTTGCCTGCATGCCAGAAGAGGGGACCAGATCTCATTATGGATGGTTGGGAGCCAATTATCATCATCATCATTATTATTAGTGTGTGTGTGTGTGTGTGTGTGTGTGTGTGTGTGTGTGTGTGCTCCTGTGTGTAAGTGTGCATATGCACATGATTTGGGTCCCAGTGGAGCTGGAGTTACAGGTAATTGGGAGCCATCAACCTTCTGATTTGGGTGCCGGAATCAAACCCAGGTCCTCTAGAAGAGCAGTGCTTGGTCTTAACTGCTCAGTCATCACCCCAGCCCATGGTGCTTAACTTTTATGACATGTTCATTACAAATATGAAAGCCAAATTTTTAATTAAACTTGTTTGTTTTTTTTGTTTTGGTTTTTTGAGATAAGGTTTCTCTGTGTAATCCTGGTTGGCCTTGAACTCACAGAGATCCGCCTGCCTCTGCCTCCTGAGTGCTGGGGATTAAAGGTGTGCCACTGCCGCCTGGCTTTAGTCAAACTCTTTAGATTAACTTTCCCCATGTACATAAGAATGAGATAGCTTGGTGGTGGTGCACACCTCTAATTTCAGCATTCAGAAGGCAGAGGCAGGCAGATCTATGAGTTCGAGGCCAGCCTAGTCTACAGAGCTAGTTCCAGGACACAGGAATTCTGTCTTGGAAAAAAAAAAAAGAATGAGATAAATTTACTACACCTCATGTATGCTCCAGTATTTTAAAATAATTTTTTTCTCTTTCCATGTGTATTCATGTTTACATATGTGGGTGCACATGCAAGTGGGTGTGAGAGCATTGTAGAAGCCAGAATCATCTCCCATTGCCCTTCCCTTCAGTAAGACAGGGTCTCTCAATCAAACTCAGAGCTAATTGATAACAGTTAGTCTTGTAACCAGCCTGCACTGAAAATCCTCTGTCTGCTTTAATATCACCTTAATGACTGTGACTTTCTGGTAAACTGGAGTTTATTTTTGGTTGTGAGCCTAGCCTTTGATGGCCGAGCCATCTCTCCAGCCCAGAATTGGGGTTTATGAAGTGATAAATCTGAATAATTTCAAAGTGCTCAGGTTTTAATGTTACCAATTCATAGAATTTGCTTTGCATTTATCAAGAGATGTTTGAGTCTGTCTGAAGAAAGGGTAACAGACGGATGTCCTCATGAGAAAGACCCCCAGTCTGTGCTGTGTGGACTCTGCGGGTTTACCCTGCTGGTTCCTGAAGTGTTCTTTTTTGTACTTCTCTCTCAACCCACAAGGGGAACACAAACAATTGCCCTCCACTTACACCCCACCCAGCATCTTCCCTGAAGGGGGTCAAGCTACACTCTAATTTAGGGTTCTAGTGTTCTGACA